TTTGCTTTATGTCCCTCAATGCCACAAAAGCGATGTTAATAGCTTACCTGAACAATCTCACTGTTATAATGTTCAAACTAGAAGGAATCAGGATTGATGTTGAAGAGAAAAGACTTAAACCAATATCACATTACAAAAATTGTAATCTGTAATGATTGATCTTTCACTTCTCTTTCAATTAAAAAAAAAATTGCACACAAAAAGCAGATCAGATTATATGACCTAGTTGACAATCAAAGTACGTTGTGAATAAGCGGAATACAATATTACGAATAGTACTGTTCACCTCAGTTGTGACATGGTTTTTTTTTTTAAGTGAACTTTAACGAAAAGCTCCTGGTACTGTTCACTTGAATGGAAAACCAAATTTTTACAATAAAAAATCAATTCTAGTACTATTCACTTTAACCTTTATTTTGTCATTTTTTCATTTTCGTTAAAACTCAAAGTTTTCAAACATTTTCCCCGTTGACGTAATTAAATCATACTCTATGTCATGAGAGTGTTGACGTGATTTAGGCCCGAGTTGGGTTCGTAACGAAAATGTTATGAATAAATGATTGTGTAATTGGGCTAAGGAAATGGACCAATCACCACACCTCCTACTTTCTTGGGTCCAATTAGAATTTTAGGTTTGTTTTGGGGTCAATTGTTAGCCCTAAACATGCAGCCCAATTAGGGCTTAAGATCCCTTTTATCTATGCCCCATCCGGACCACATGGACACACTCGCACACATGTACATACCCTCACCCTTTCTCTTGATCTTTCCTTCGTCCGTACAGTTCGTACACACACACACCTAACCATCTTCATCTTGCACATATCAAACTAGTGGAGGTCACTTTCGAGTTCCTTGCAAGGTCAGGAACCTAATCATACCCTTAGTTTTGTGAAAGAACCTCAGAAACCCTGGAACTCGCGAGCTTCGGCGAGGTGCTCTGCTACTGCATAATGATCATGGACATTTCACGGAGTTTCAAGGCTCAAGGGAGTCTTAAAACAACCTCACATAGATCATAGAGAAGTTTTGGAAGGTTTTGGACATCGAGATAGGTCAATTCCTCAAGTTACAGTTTTGATCTGAATATCAAAGGATTTTCTGACTATTTCCCATCTGTTTTAGGACTTCAAAGTGGTAAGAACATGTTCTACTCGTTTAGGGCTTCAAATCCATGTAAAGTTTGTGAAATTTGGTTGAGATTTGAGTGAGATATTTAAATTTGAAATTTTTCCAGTTTCCAACAACGCATCAACGATTGGCGTCGGAATCCGGCGAACCACTGGAGAAGGAAAGGGAATATTCCGTCAACTTTGACGGAATATACTAATGGCATCAGGTAGAGTTAACGAAATATTCTATTATGTAGTGGAATATTCCCTAACGGCATTTAAAATTATGTCCATGTGCTTACGTGTGGCCGGCGCATGAGGGTGCGTGGGACGTCAGAAAATTATTCTAAAAATATGGGGATGCTCATGGTATTGAGTAAGCCACGATAGTATATTCAAACACCCCAATTGAGCAACGTATGAGAATTTATTCCACGATTTTGGTCATGTACTTAAAATTAATGTTAAAAATAATGGTTTCACATATAGGTGAGACGTTTCCAGAGGACAAGCGCAGTCAGGCGAGACTCGGGGTTACGATCCAGCTATATACTAGTAAGTGGGCTTTTGGTTTTCTATATATACGTATATATGCTTTGCGTTTTCTCAAAAATTTGTTTTAAATGGAGTCACAATTTTAAATGCCATTTCAATTCCATTATGCTTTAGAGTATACATTAGTATAGTTATGTATATTGTTGCTTGACGCTGCAGACACCCAAGTAAGCTTCAGGTGAGTATATATTGATGATATTGGATGCATTGTTTGTGGTTATACATAGATACATTTAGAGCTCATTATCCTACACCCCGATGCTAGTGCTCCCACCCGTGGCCAGGGCACAGTCCTTCACGTGATGTTCACGTCCCGCACCGCACGCTTACCTTGGATCCAAGTTTGGTGCACAACCCTGTAGTATAGACCACATTAGGTGGTTCCGACTCGTAGGTGACCCGCGATTATTCACACAGCCTTCACGTGATCGTAGCACTTGAACGTACTTATTTGTACCTAGCCCTGTCATACAGACCACAATAGGCGGTTCCGACTCGTGTGTAGGCATATCTGATGAGCTATAGGTTTAGTCGTATAGGTCACGTTAAATGACTCCGGCTGACATGTCATTTTACATCGATTTATTTCAACTAGCTACTTATTTCCATTACTGGGATACTTGACATGGCATATATTTGATTTTCACTACTCTCGAGCATGATTTTTATATACGTATGTATTTTTATTTTCTGGGAAACTATACGGGTTTTACGGTGAGGGGTTATTACTTTTGGAAAAAGAAATGGTTTTGAAAAGCTTTGTTTTTGCCCATTCACGTTTTCTATTTTGCGCCATTCCAGGTTCTAGATAGAAGTGCGTGTTGGTGGCTCACGAGGACTCTACGGCGGTTCTGACAGACATCCATCAATGTAGGGTTTTCTTTCATACCCTGTATAATTAGTGTTTAGCCTACTGGACTGTACCTTGGCACCTACGCTCTAATTATGTGTATCTACACTCTAACACTTCTTCCCGCACTTATTTACTTGTCTTGTGTGCATTAGTTAATTGGTTTTTTATTTCTCACATCTTCATATCACTGTCACTTCCGCACTGCGCACATGGCTACGTTACCATACGTGACAGTGAGCATGCCTCGATTTAGGTCGTGGTGTGTCAGTACCAATGTGCGTGTGTGTGTATATATATATATATATATATATACCCAGTATATTGGAGAGTATAATTTATATATTTTTAATCCCATAAATTATGGATTTTATATAAAATCTCATTAATATAAATAACTACAAATTTTATTTTTAATTTAAAATTATTATAAATACATTATTACATTAATTAATGTCAGAAACTTTGATCAAAAATGAAAACAACAAAGATTTTAGTTAAAGAATATTAGTATTTAAGGAACGCATCCAAAGTTTCTCTAGTAAAAATAGCAATACTCTGCATGCTATATTGGCTCAGTCGAACTACAATTTCCTAGGTGGTTTTTCTTTATGTTAATAATGCAAAGGAGAACCACAAATTTCCTGAAACAGATCAAAGTAGACATTTATTTTCTTGATTTTTCTGAACCATTGTTTCTTGTGTAATGATGCCATGCCTCCGTTGCATTTAGGCTTTTACGGTTTGTACGATTCTCCCTACGTCGGAGATGTGCTAACCTGACGTGGCTGCATACAAAACATTTTGCACACGTTTTTTAAATGGCCTAGGCTAGGTCCACTTGCACTGGGAATTATTGATTAGTGTAAAAAACTACCGATCTGGTTTGGACCAAAAATAGTTTCGGGGAAATTTTCTATTTCCTCTAGAAAATGTTTTCTCTGAATGTAATGTAGTTTTTGTGCGCTGGATTTGGTTCGATGCGTGAAACAAGAGATAGCATTGCTTACATACATACATACCCAACAGCATTATAGAATCCTTGAAAATGAAATCTCAACTTCGGTGATAAATGGGGCAGTGAAGATTAGTGCGGATCCATCTTTGGGTAATGTGGGCTCAATCGACATCCCCAAGCTTAGAATTTTTTCATGGAAAAGCTAGGTGTTGCCATTTAAAAATTTGAAATGCCCTTAAAAGCTGTCGTCCATTTGCTCGACAAATGCCTCTATGGGCACTAGGCAAGGTAACTGCTAGCCTCATGCCTTTGTATGCATTGCTATGGGCATCTGTCGTCAGCTCACTAAAAAACTATTAACGTCAGTCTACATGCTTGCTTCGAAAGTTGGCAGCAATTGAGAAGTCTGTAATATTAGTTGGCAAACGGCCTTAGGCCTAGCAAGGCTATAAAATACCAATTCGCATGATGTTCTATCCAAAAGAATTTGCGCGCCAAACACGCCATTCTTACTAACCCCTAATAATATTTCTTGGATTCAACACTAGTGACAATGGAAAATGATGTTGTGAAAAGGACTGGAACTTATGAAATGGGAGAGAAATTTCGTGCATCGGTTTTTATCCTAAAATCAATCATATGTTATATTGACGAAAAAAGTTAAAATATATAAATATGTTATTTAGCAGTAAAACATTGATTTCAAATGCTGTCAAATCATAGATTTCCAAGTAAAATTGAATTTTTTTCATGGGGTGCGTGATAGCAAAGATTCTTGAACTTTACACATGTTAGTTTTTGTCCCTAAACACTCATATTAGTTTCTCATGTCCTTCAACTTAACTTTGTGTTGCATGAGTGGTCTTTCTGTCAAATCTGTCTTCTTTTCAGTCAAATTGAAGGGTATAGTGGTCTTTTTATACAAAAAATTAATTATTTAAAAATGACAAAGCTTGGCTCCTTAAGGTTAAGGAGTTCCTTCTTAAAATACTTTTTGGTCTATTCAAAGAATTTCATGCTTGTGTTTAGTCAATCTTTAGATCATAAGATAAAGTTATGTGAATAGATCATGAGGTATTTAATGAGAATTTCCGCCTAAGTCCTTGCGGAGACAAGTCTTTGTCTTTTTTGGTCATCAACTTGACAAAAAAAGTTGATGGAGTTAATGAAAATGACAGTGCAAAGAATGAAATAATTCATGTACAGAAGAAACTATTAGTATAATTTCGAGATGAAAATTAAGCTCGCGGTATTGATCAAGGACTTTTACTTTAATTTTAGTCTTTTCATGTGATAAGGAGAAATAAGAAAAAGAAAAAAACAAGCGTGTTGTAGACTAGCAAATTTTAATTTCCACGTAGAGATGACAAGAGAGATAATATAGACGAAATTTTTGGACTTGCTTTTTGTGATAGCCCATCTCGGAATAATTGTAACGTTGGCGTGAAATGACGATTTTGCCCTTGGACCTTAGTTGGTGCCTTGGGTGATTTATTTTCTTTTGTTTAGGTTGACTACCATCAGGACCACACATACACACCCACACACACCTAAACCAACCCATGGACCCTCCCTCATTCCTCTCTCTCTCGGATTTCTTCCATTCCTTTACCATTGTACGGACAAACTTCAAAACCAACCATACATGCACGGATCGACGTCTAGAAGGTAAGATTCGAACTCCTTGCAAGCTTTTGAGTTCATATATACCATTTGTGAGACTTGAAACCTTCAAAAACCTCGACAACCCTAACCCCAAATTTCATGCACTGTTCATGCACTAATTATTGTGAGGTTTTTAGGAGTTTTGAGGTTATAGGAGCTTTAGAACCTTCTCACGAAGCTCGAGGAACAAGTTTGAAGGATTTTGGACATCGCAATAGCAAGTTCTAAAGTTGGCCGGTTTTTGTGAGATTTCTCTAGCGAGATTCTAGCATTTTTGGTGCTTCAAAGTGGTATAACCCTCTTTCCCTTGTCCTAAGCTTCATTTTGACATAAATTTCGTGAATTTTGGTTGAGAAATGAGTTAGATATGACGAATGGAAGTTTTTCCCAGTTTTCGATGACGACGATGGAGTCCGGTGACTAGCCGGAGAAGAAAGGGGAATATTCTGTTAACCTTAACAGAATATTCATAGCGGCAATTAACGGCGTCAGGTTAGTTTTAACGGAATATGCTTGCTTTTGGACGGAATATTCCTAACGGCGTTAACTACCGCCATCAGTGTGCCAGGCACGTGTGGCCGTGCCTTGGCCAGCACGTGACGGCGCGTGGGTTGTCAGAAAATTATTTTTAAAATATAGGGATGTTCGTGAGGTTAAGTAGATCATGTTGGTATATTCAAACACCCCATTTGAGCATTGTATGAGAAGTTATTACCTAGTTTTGGTTATGTGCTTTAAATTGATGTTTTTATAGTTGTTTCACATATAGGTGAGACCTATCCTGAGGACGAGCGCAGTCACTCAAGGCTCAGGGGTTACAACCCCTTCATATACCAGTGAGTGGGCTTTTGGTTTTCCATATATACCTATATACTTGAGAGTTTTCCCAGAAAATGAAATTGAATGTTTATATGTTTTAAAATGCGATGCAAAGTGTCTGCCTATTTATTTATACATTAGTAGTTGCATATATGTATATTTGGTGCTGCGGATGCACAGGTAAGTTTATAGTTTATGGTTGTGATTTATTGATTATGTGAGATGCATTAAGAGCTCATAAACCTGCACCCCAATGTTAGTGCTCTCGCCCAGAGTTAGGACACAATCTTTCACGTGATGTTCACCTCCCACACCACATGCTCATCTTGGATTTAAGTTAGGTGCACAGTTCTGTTGCACAGACCATTATAGGTGGTTCAGACTTATAGGTGACCCGCGATTATTTGCACAGTCTTCACGTGATCGTAGCACTTGAGCGTATTTATTTACACCCAGTCCTGTCGTACAGACCACTTTAGGTGGTTCCGACTCATGTGCAGGTATAGTTGTTGAGATGTGGATTTGAGCTCTAGATTCAGCCGTACAGGTCACGTTAGGTGACTCCGGTTGACTTGTCATTTGAGTTGATTGATATTACCTGGGTTACTTACATCTTATGTTGAGATATTTGACATGGCATATATGTGGATTTTGCAAATTCGAGTATGGTTTCGATATATGTATATATTCTATTTTCTGGGAAATTATACAGGTTTTACGGTGAGGGGTTACTACCTTTGATAATTGAAATGATTTTGAAAAGCTTTGTTTTTGCCCACTCACACTTTCTGTTTTGCGCCCCTCTAGGTTTTAGTTTGGAGCGCTCTTTTGGTGGCTTACGAGGAATTCACGGCATCCCTGACAGATTATCACCAACATAAGATCACCTTTGGATGTTGTATAATTAGTATTCGTCCTACTGGACTGCACTTAGGCCTTTTATGCTCTGATTACGTTTATCAAACTTAGTCTCACACTAGTGTGTTACTTTAACTAGTTTTTCTAGTAGTTTGGTTTTTATTTGTTCGTAATTGTTTTATTATTATTGCTTCTGCACTATGCACATGGCTACGTCACCTTTACGTGACGGCCAACATACCTTGATTTTCGATCAGGGTGTGTCAATTTTACTTTCTAAAGATTTCCATTTGGAATGCTTCTTTTTATAAAGTAATTTTGCTCATGAACGTGAAAGTGCTTTTAATCGAAGCATGTTGAAATATTTTTCAAGTACTTTTTGGAAGGCCACTAGAAGTTTTGAACTACCGCTTCTTGAAACAAGAACACATGCACTTTTAATTATTCTATGTGCTTTTCTAACTCATAAACATGAAAACTGTTTTGTGAAACATTTTTGAAGTACTTTTGGCTGTATGAAAAGCTCTTTTTCTAACCGAATTTCATGTGCTTTACCCAAAAAAAAAGACTTTCGACTTTGTCTCTCGTTTTTAGAAATATTTTTTGTGGTATGGAGATAAACTTAACATTGCAATAAGTTATAAATTTTTGAGTCTCAACTTAATAAATTAACTTGCATAGTAATAATTGTTAATAAGTTCAAAAATATACACTGTCACAATAATAATTTAAGATGAAATAATCTATATTCCTCTAAAGTTATTTGAGACAATGATTTGTTATTATAGAGTTAATGATACATCTTTGATCTTGCGGGTACGTAATAGGTAGCCAACATGGACACTTTGTTTTTCTAATAGTGTTTCAAATTTCTCAAGCATGTTTATAGTTTTTTAGCAAAAAATTTGATATTTCCGTACTGACATCCTTATGATTATCTCCTTTCCTTTCTTGCCTAATTGCATCAATGATTCATTCTTCAGTTAAAGTGTAAACGACTTTGTTGCTCATTTGGATGATTGAATAATACATTTCATTGGCATATGTTAATGTTAATGTAATACTTTGTACCAATACAATTTTTGTTAAGGATAATTAAATTAAAAAATAATAGTTTTTAACTATCCTTTATGTTAAGTAATAAAATTGGTTTGTTGTCGAACATTGTAATTTTATAACCATAAAAAGATTTTACAGTAATAGGGTGCACTTGGACTAGTAGTCTGGTACAGGGAACCCTTTCCCAATCCAAAATCAATGGCCCTGAGAGGTTTATCGCTTTGAAGAAAGTTGTGAAGGAGAGGGCACAAGAAATAAAAACAAATTGCAACTTGGAAAAGTCCCTTGTTGTGGTATCCGACTTAAGTCTTGTTATCAAACACCATATTCTCGTACTGTTGTTGATGCGATTCTTTGTGGTGTTTTCATTTGATTTCTTTGACGTGTGCCATCAAATATGCTGTTAGATTTGTGAAGTCCTATCAAGTAACTGTCACTACTGGTTTCCTTTTTTTCATCAACTCTTGAGCCACCACCACTTTCTATCATACAATATTGAAGAGAGCAACAGCCGCCTTCGTTATCGATGTGTTGATTACAATATTGGTATGCAATATATGTTTTTCTTTTCTCCTTAATCATATTTCAGTAGTGTAATTTATAAAGAGTATACGTATATATTCCTTTCATAAAAAGAAAAAAGAAAAAGTGTATGTTTGATGTGCGAAAGCCATCATATTCTTTCATGGCACTAAAGCAGATTACTCATGCGTTTGGCTCCACGTCCCTATGTTTCCAACGCAGTTTAAAAATTAAGCAACCTTCCCGAATATAAGAATTATAAATTAGTGATGGAGTATTCCATTTACGAAAGCCAGATAACAACTCTTTCCTTCCATATTATATATTTGAACGACTAACTAATTCAATGATCAATATAACGATAGCCCTAAAATTAATGCGTAGGTTTTGAAAACAATATGTAAAAGGAGTTGAGCAGTCAACATGAGCACAACACGCTTAAAAGTAAGGGTTTGCACTTTTTTCAAAATTTTTTATTACTACTCCTAGCCAGATTGAAAAAGAGAAAAATTTGAACTCCGGACAAAGAATATTAAAAATAGAAAATAATTATTCATCGTGTATCATGATTTTTTGGGACCATGACACATGACACCTTGGGTGGCAAGAATGATTGGAATACCTGTTGCCATGGAGTGTAGTTTGACAGACTACGCTTAAGCCCATTGAAGATAATAACTTGTCTCTCATGTAAGAAAACTCTAATTCAAGTCAAATTTGGATATCTTGAAGATTAAGCAACGTAATCATAATCCTAGGAGAATAAATATCTTATCTTAGATTCTCTCCTAGATAGTCTCTCGATTTAATTAGGATATATTTCCCTACAAGGACTCTCAAGATCTGTATAAACACTATAGCACGGGTATTTTATTGGGAGATGATTCTTTGTCTTCTTTACAAGACTACTACACATATATTCTCTCTATGCTTAACAAAGGCTTATCTTGCATACACGCTGCCGTCTGTATACACATAGGCTATTTGTGAAGGATGGTTCATGATGTTGCACACATCAAACCATTCTTTCTTAGAACTACACTCGTGGTTTGATTCTCCTTCTAGGAGATATGTAGGCAATCATTCTCAGATTCACCCACTCCCCCAATCAACATCATTTTCTAATCGCTAGAAATCATGGGCATTTTCAACTGTATTTCACCTCTGTCCACAGATGTACACAAATTTGGTTCCAATAATTGGTACTTTCATTAAGGGGTGAACTTATACTCCCCCAGTTAGCAACATCTACCATGAGTGACGATCAAAACTAGAAAATCCTGAAGATGGAGTTTTGGTTGATGCTCCAAATAATAGATCTCTCGCAAGTCGTAACAACCACCAATTCCGATGACTCACACAAAGAATACTTCTTTTTTAATGGATTTGTTGCTACTATTATCCATGATCAAGGACTAGTTTGCAAAAGGGATATGTGTTAATCGCATATCCCCTTTTCTTTTCATATCCTACAATGTTGGACTAACTCAGTCCAACACCATTCTGGTGAAGCCACTAACTCTAGTAACAACACAACTGCTTTAACAAGTGCAGTAAAGTCCCAACATAGAAAGAAATCACTATGGGCAAGTCACCCCTATAAAAAGCATAAAGTTCAATTCCAAAATTTTGCCTCAAGATCCATCGGAGCTTCGAACTAAACAACGGATCGTGATCATTCTGCAACATAGCTCCACAATTCTGCGTCCAACACAAAGCATAAGAAACTGAGGGCATCTCATTTGAAGCACAAGCAACTTCACCTAGCAGTCTCGAAGCTTGTATATACAAAAGAATTCCTCAATCCAATCAAAACAAGGTGTTATTCGCGACATGAGCTTTGACTAAGTGCTTAGTTTGGAAAGATTCGCTTAGCACACAAGGCACCAAATAATGCAAATGCACTTGGTTTATTCCAAAAACAGCAAAACTGGACTTGGTTCACGAAAAGCTTCCGACCCAGGAAGTGAAGGCAGATTTGGCTAGGTGCGGACCAACACCTCATCGCAAGTACAACTTGTAGACCTTTCGTTTAAAGTTTGCAATCAGCTTTACCTAAATCCTTCAAACACTACGACTAGGGCAAATGCTCACAAAGCTCTAGGGCAATGTAATGTGCCTGATACCCATTTTGCGCACTTGAATAATTTTGAATAGAAAGCTGACACAAGGCCAATTGGAGACAAAAACTAAGATGATAACGATCATTTTGTCAAATTTTCCAAAAGTTTCTGATAGGAGCATATTTATGCGATTTTGTTAGCCTATTTCCTTGCATTTACTTAGTTAGTTTCTATTTATTAGAGTGTTTTAAGCCATTTTCGTGTGTTTGTAGGTCCAAATGGCAAAGTTGGTAAGAAAAGGCTATTTGGAGCATTTTAGAGCAGTTTTGGGCTTGGAATGGATAGCACATGTATGGAGCATGGTGGATGGACGTTTTTGAAGATCAAAAGAGGCTAGGAATGTGCTTAACATCTGGAAGAATTAATTCAAGACATTGAAGATAAGAATCAGCTAAGAAGAAGGAAATATTATCCAAACTATCTTATCTTATCCAAATCTTATCCAACCTTATCTTATCTTATCCTATCCTAATCTTTTCCTACCTTCATTCTAGCTGCAAAGGGGAATCAATTTCACATTAAATCACCTAAATATCTGGTTCTAGAAGCCTTATCATCTGCCCTAGATTATTGACGCATACCTTATCCCTTGTCCTTCTAGAAACCTGTCACAATACCCCCTTTCTAGAAGCCTAAATCTATGCCGCACCTAACCTTAGTCCCTTTCCTTCTGGACTTGTGTCATGCCCTATCCCTGTCCTCCAAGGATTGGTTTCGTGAACCTTAGCCTTATATATACACATTTATGCAGCACAAAAGAGGAGAAAGCCTTAGAGAGAAAATCAGAAAAATAACTTTGTGCTGCAGCTTTGTAAGGAAGGAAGGAGAGAAGGAGTTTTGAGCCGTGACCTACTATCCAAGACCATTAGGGTGCTAGGGCATTTTTGGGTTTCTTTCTATCCTTAGTTTTAGTTCAATGTTTAAATTAGATTGGTTTTATTTAATTGCAAACATGTGGAACTAATTTCGTTTTAGTTAGAGGTGAATTCAAAGCCATGAATATATATGTGATATGAATTGATTTCCTCAAATTATTGTTTCGTAAAACATGAATGCGATTTACATATCTGTTTGATTGATAACTTATTCTTGTATGTTGATTGAGGGTGCACACTTAGTTTGCATGCATGAATCTGATGCTAAAATATAAGGGAATTTCACCTAATAGTTATGAACTTATATTTATAAGTAGTGGAAGTCACTAGTCATCATTGTGTTAAGAAAATCCATGACAGAAGTATCATATAGTTCATAGTTACGAATGCCTTATCAATGCTTATGATTTTCATAGAACTTAATGATCTTTGATATGTATCTCTATTATGCAGTTCACATAGGGAACTTGATAAGAATAATTTGATTGCGTCGCTGAGTCCAATTCAATGAATTTAGAAAAATCTGAGAGTTAATTAGTGCTATTCACAATTAATATGGGGGATTGTCATTCATGGTTTATAGAAATAATAACTAGAAATCAATTTGTTTGCATATATGTCATGTGTGGAGAAGGTCATCTAGCCTTTCACCCTTTAATTCACCCAATTACGTGCAACCTTTAGTTTGTTTCTTCAACTTACTTAGTTTAGTTAAAATTAGTCAAAACAACCCCCATTTAGTATTCTGAGTCTTTTTAGTTTAATTTTCGTCCAAACTTCTCTCTAGTTCCTGTTTTGAGTCAACTTAACTTAGTTTTGTGTTAATTGAGTCAGTTTAGCTTGTTTTGAGTTGTTTGAGTCTAGTTTTCTGTTTTTGAGTTAAATAAGTGTAGATTAGTATCCCTCCTAATCCCCGGCCTAAAATGATCCCTACTTTCATATACTTTGCATTCCCGTTAGAGCTACACAGCAGTGGGTAAACAAAGATTTCGACGTCTTCACAGTTTTTCACAATGACATGCCATATATGCTTGGAAAGATAAGAAGTAGAGCTATAATGCAATTATTGTTCCAGAATTTTCCAAAAGACAGAATGATCTCAAATTTGGTACGCAAAACAGTTGAACAACAAGCCAGCCCAACCAGCACATCACAGCAGCATTGCTAATTTGACAGGCTAAATTGCTTTTACTCAAAACGAACTAAGTTACGCTATCATAAAGATATGGATGTTATCTTTCTTTAGAATTTTACTAAATAAAATTTTGAGCTACGTGGAAAATGTTATTGTCATTTTACTTCTCATAGCATAAGCTAAAATTTTTTACGAAACTCCTCAAGTTCTTCCTCCGAACTCATATCAAATGACGTACAATGTGTTGCAACAACCTATGAGTTCACGATACACCCCATTATGATCAAGTTAACAATTAACCTAAGGGTTCCAACCAATGCAAGTCCGCTCCAATGAGCTAAAAACAAAAGTCACCCCGCAATGCACTATGTGACGGCTCCACCATTGTCCTCCTCCACCGCTAGCTTGTAATGGAGAAGAAAAGGGTACATACCATATGGAAAAATAAGACAAAATTTTATGACTTCGAATCTCATACAACACGTGGCTTCTATGAGTTTAGATTCCCACACATGAATAAGTCTAAATGCAATATTACTCCAGCTTACTCTAAAACTATTCGTAGTAGGGTAGATCGAAGTAAGTGCGCCTTCGTAGTCCGATCATAGACAAACAACTTCCACCTCAAAGTTGCACAAATGAAGTAGTTATATTAACATCATGTTGTTCTGGAGCCTCATTGAGATTGACTATGTTTATTGCGCAAGAAAAGGAAACCTGATTTGGTATGAAATCAACTAGTTTTCCTGTATTCTTGAAGTTCCTACAATTTAGGGTTGGCATGCGCTGCAAGTAGTCACACTCCTAAGAGGATGCAATATCTATTCCTAAATATCTTTTGGGATTCTCAAAGGCAACTTCAAAGATAAACAAGGAAAACAACTCGAAGACCTATTCGACGAGTGAACAACCT